TTGTTTTATTATTATTGTAACTGTTTGGAGCTTGTAATAGTTTTAATTAGGGTTTTAAATTCCGCACTTTTATTTCCCGTCAAGATAATTATGTAACTGTCAAAGCCTTGTAATAGTTAGGTTTATTTTCTCGCACTTTTAAATTCCTGCAAATATTTAGCTGTCTAGATGTATGCTAATAGGATTGTATGGCAAGAATGTCTGGAAATTTAAAATAGTGGATCACCTAATGTGCAAAGATTAAATAACTGAAACAACTCATATGCACATATTCACTCCTAGGGTTTACCTCACCTCGGTTGCCTTCGGTAAACAATCATTAAGCATAGGAGATTTTAGTGGTTTCCCTCCAGTCTAAAAGATCAAAGTGTCCCATTCGAATGTTGCCTCAGAAATGTTGCCTCGGAAATGTTGCCTCAGAAATGTTGCCTCGAAAATGTTGCCTCAGAAATGTTGCCTCGAAAAGATCTTAAGACTCTAGGGTTACTACTATAGTTTTCTAACTGTTGCTTTAGTAATTGTACTTGTCCCTTTTGAATGTCCCTTACAACTCCAACGACGATGCTACCTACTCCTTAATAGCGGGATAACGCTGTCTAAAGGAAATAGAACGAACAATCTTTTTTTCGAGTAGGTAGAATCTTAAGTACTTGCTCTGTAAAAACTTTTCACACAAACACCTTTCAAAACAAATTTTCAAAACAACTTCGTCACATCCTTGAGGACTGATACAAGGATTATCATGAAGTAAACCATTTTCAAAGCAAATCACACACAAGCAATTTGAAAAAATGAGCAAGTACCTAAGAGCCCATGGAAAACCATGGATAGAAAGGGTGCTAACACCTTCCCTTTCTATAATCTACCCCCCGTACTCAGAAACATCTCGAAAAAAGGTTTTTTCTGTTCTTTTTCCTTTTCCATGATTGGATAAAATAAAAGTTTGTGGCGACTCTTGCTTACTGCGACATTTTGCGAACAAAAAAATGCAAAACGCAAACTAGTAAAAACAGTCGGTTCTGCCATCGTGTCACAGGATGAGATTAGGATGTTTTGTGTCCCATTATCCATTGATTTGACTGATTATCAAGGCTGAGTCGCTAAATACACTCAAGAATTTGATTCTCAAAATTATAGAAGCTTTGAGGGCCATAATGCATGCTTCATATTCAGGCATATTATTGGTACAGTTGAAACATAGTCTGGAAGTGAAGCGAGTATGACATCCTTTAGGAGATATGATCATAGCACCAATGCCATTGCCAAGTGTATTGGAACCTCCATCAAAAACCACAGTCCATCGGGATCCTTTTTCAGGTCCTTCACCCGGTCCAGGTTCTTCACAATCAGTCACTAACATGATGTTCTTGTCCGGGAACTCAAAATTCATGGATTGGTAGTCATCCACAGCCTGATGAGCTAAATGATCAACTAATACACTTATATTGATTGCTTTATGGGTTGTGTACTTAATATCATATTCAGTCATGACCATTTTCCATCTTGTTATTCTTCCAGAGAGAGTGGGCTTCTCAAAGATGTATTTGATAGGATCCATTTTAGATATCAACAAGGTAGTGTGAGTCAACATATATTGTCTCAGTCAGCGAGCAGCCCATGCCAAAGCATAACAAGTTTTCTTTAGCAGTGAGTATCTTGTTTCACAGTCGGTAAACTTTTTTCTAAGGTAGTATATTGCATGCTCTTTTCGACCAGACTCGTCATGCTGCCCCATCACACACCCTATTGAATTCTCTAATACTCTTAAGTACATGATTAGAGTTCTTCCTTCAACTGACGACATCAAAATTAGAGGCTCTTGAAGATATTCCTTGATTTTGTCAAAGGCTGTCTGGAAATCGTCATTCCACTTCACCACTCGATCTTTCTTCAGTAGTTTGAAGATTGGCTCACAAGTAGCGGTAAGATGAGAAATAAACCTAGCAATGTAGTTTAAACATCCCAAGAATCCTCTAACCTCCTTTTCAATGAGGGGAGTTGGCATTTCTTGTATAGATTTAACCTTTGAAGGGTCCACTTCAATACCTTTGCCACTGACAACAAAACCTAGGAGCTTACCAGATCTTACTCCAAAGGTGAACTTGTTCGGGTTCGGTCTTAGCTTGTACTTCTTCAGCCTTTCAAACAGCTTTTACAGGAAATCAAGGTGCTCTTATTCAGTCTGAGACCTAGCTATCATATCATCGACGTAGACCTCTATCTCATGATGGATCATATTGTGAAGCAAAGCTACCATGGCGCGCTGATAGGTTGCCCCGATGTTCTTCAACTCAAATGACTTAACTTTGTAGAAGAAAGTGCCCCACTGTGTGACGAAGGTTATTTTCTCCATATCTTCAGGAGCCATTTTGATCTGATTATACCCAGAGAAACCATCCATGAAGGAGCATACCTTATGTTGCACAGTGTTGTCAACCAGAATGTCAATATGGGGAAGCGGAAAGTCATCCTTGAGGATCGCCCTATTTAAGTCTCTGTAATCCATACACATATGTACCTTACCATCCTTCTTAAGTACCGGAACAACATTAGCAACCCATTATGGATAAGAAGTAACAGCTAAGAAACCGGCATTGAATTGTTTCATGACTTCAGCTTTGATCTTTTCTGACATCTCAAGACGCATACGATGAACCTTTTGCTTCACTGGAGGGCAGTCTTCTTTCGTTGGTAAAAGAGGAACCATAATATCATTGTCCATCCCCGACATGTCTTCATACAACCAGGAAAAGATCTTAACATAGTCATGTAACATTTGAATTAATCGTGCTTTGACACTATGCTCCAAGTTGGAACCTATTTTAACTTCATTTTTATCCTCTTCAGTACCCAAGTTCATTGTCTCAACGGGCTCTTCATGAGGTTGTATGGCTCTTTCCTCCTGTTGTAACAGTCTAGCAAGTTCTCCTGGTACTTCACAATCTTCCTCACCTTCGTCCTCGACTTGGTAGATCGGATTTTCAAAGTCATAATTGGAAATAGCATAATTGTTATCAATGGGATCCAGATTGGATGTGGATCTGCAGTTTGATATGTGGGTGTGTAAGAGAGCATAGCTATTTTGATAAATTAAAAGGCAGAAAAGAAAAACAAAGAGCGTTAAATTTGTATGCAAAAACGTCCAGTGATTTATTAATGACATATGAATATGAAGTAATAACCCTCACAAATAGACCCTTGTGCCTCGGGTAAGACACAAGACTTTAGAGTTTAAATTGTTAAAATATTACATATCCCAAAAACAAAACAAAAAAGACAATTACTCCTGGATGAAAGTAATGGGAACAAAGTCTCCAGCCGTCCAATTATTTAGCCAACCACTGGTAGTTGGGAAGATCTAATTGTTCATGTCATAGTCATTGTCATTGTCCTCCAAAACATTGATTCCATGGTTACTGATGCGTAGTGGTGGTCCTCCGGTGCGAGCGCGACGAACAACTTTTTGAGCTCCTGAAGTAAAACCCAAACCAAACTTATCAGATTTGTAGGGGATGTCAGGGAGCTGGCCCCAGATAGTAACCCCACCTTCTTTAACTACAACTTTGGAATCCTTTAGAGAAGCCATCTTAACCAGAGGTTTGGTAGTCTTTGGAACACTAGCAACAGTCTTTGTAGCACCAATTGTTGGAGTAACCTCTTCAAAGTTTTGGCAGGTGTAGCGGTGAAAATCGGAGATCAAGCTATTAATTAACTTGACTCGTAAAAGCAAGAGTCGCCACCGCGCTTTATTATTTCCAAGGGAAAAGGGAAAAGAGCGAAATAAAACCCTAAAATATGCAATGTATAATAATACTTAAAAGTAATGAAAAATACAATGCGTTTTGAAAAGAGATCGAGAGTTCGGGGGTTGGTTATACAATGGGAAGGTATTAGCACCCAATGCATCTGCGGTACTCCGCATGAACCTTTTGAAATATCTGTTTTTGGTTAAAATTGTTTGTTTGATTAAAATGGTTCGTTTGGCTAAAAATCGGTGTTGGATGAGATTTTGAAGAGACAACAACCTAATGTCGAAGTTTTCACTTAAAAGGTGTGAGTTTAAAAAATTGAATCTTTTGGGAAAATTATCTTAGGTTTAACAAAATAGTAAACAAACAAAAGATGAATGAGGGTATTCGCACGATTGGATGAGATGTGTTTGATGACGTGAAGTCAACAAAATTTAAATCTTTTCCTTGGAGTAAAACAGGAAGACCATAGACATAGCATTTATCAACAAATAACAAGATAAAATCAAATAATCAAAAAATAATTTAACAATTTAAACGATCAATACACAAATCAATTAAATTAATTAAAAATATTTAATAAAACTAATTAATAAAAATTAGTTAAACTAAATAAAAATTAATTAATCAAATTAATTAGCATCTCACAATTAACAAAAGTAAAATAAAACAATTAAAAAAAATAGCAACAATTAACTCAATCAAACATCATTAGCAAAATATCAACATAACATAAAAACAAACAATTAAAAAATAAACAAGAATAAGAAGAAATTAAATAATATGCTTGAATAAAAAAACACAGGGCTGGAATAATGTAATTCAGATGGTCTTGATGGTCTTGATGGTCTTAAGTTTAATAACAAACATTAACAAAATAGAGAACAAAAACAAAATGACACGCTACGTTATCAGCTTCTCACCCTCTAAAATCCCTTACACGATTCTCCTTCGCTTTCTCTCTCTCTCTGCTCCAACGTACCATCACCATCATCTCTCAAACGAAATCAATCAAACAATATCAATGTTCAGATTCTCGGTTCATCTCTCTAATCCGTGAATAATAACAACCGATTTCTATTTCCCAGTTTGCTCACAATCGATTGCTACAACAACAACTTATGTTCCTCACTCGCGGTTCTCATTCTAAACACAAAAAACAAAGACAATCACAATGATAAATTTGAGAGAGAAGAAAAGAAAACTTACAAACTCGGAGTCAGTCCGGGGATTCCGACCCCAACGAAGAGTTTAGATTATGCTTTCCTGCCTACTCTTGGTTTTAATCCTTCTTCTTATATTCTTTGTCCATGAACCTATTGCCCCCATAAAATCGGCCAAGACTGTTAGGGCACCAATACATATGCCTCCAAATGCTGCAGCAGTGGGAATGTATCGGTTTAGCTCTTTCTGCAAGTTTGACTCCCGGTGTCCAGGCATTACCATTTGTTGTTCCTTCAACTGCTTGGCAACATCCCTAGCAGACGAACCAGAAACCTCAATCCAAGTTTTAGAGAACAATGCACATGCTGACAGCATAAACACAAGATAGAACAAAGCATGGAAAGGATTGGCTACCATATCAGCTAAACTGGAAGGTGCAGTGATGTAGTATGCAATACCACCAACAGGAATTGAATGACCACCTCCATATTCAGATTCCTTCCATTTTCCCAACAGATTTACAATGAAGTTTCCACTGTACTTGCGATGGAGAAGCTGAGAGATAAAGTAGAGATTTGAAACAAGGGCTGACTGAAGAATAATGGGCATGTTGGAGGTATAGAAAAGTTTGATTGGATATGAACCCTGCTGTCCTCGGGCATTCTTTGACCTTACAGGCAAGACCACACGGAAACCTTGGAAGTATATCACAATCAGAAAGATCAAGACAGTAGCAAGAAGGTTTGTGACATTTGGAAGATTCTGCCGGTAAAACGCTTCGCGAAGAGCACAAACCTTGTCTGTTCTAGTTATCAACAAATGGAACAGAGCAATAACAGCACCCTCAAATTCATCTCCACGCCTACTATTAAAGGTGGTGGGACTAAATGCCTTCAATATAATGTTTTCACAGATATTAGTTACTATGAAAAGGGAAATTCCAGAACCAAGACCATATCCTTTTTGAAGAAGCTCGTCTAAACATATGACAATAATGCCGGCAAAAAAGAGCTGGATGATGATGAGGATAGCATTTCCTACTCCAAGTTGGCCCACACTACCATACATTCCAGAAAGAACATAGGCAACTGCTTCTCCAACAGCTATCAAAATACCAAGTAGCTTTTGTGCTCCATTCCTGCCATAGAAAAGGAAAAAAGGGCCCTATCTTCTCGAACATTGTTATCCACTTCAATGATCTTCGATCCAGCCAGAAGTTGCATAACCAGCCCAGAAGTCACAATGGGAGTGATTCCAAGTTCCATGACAGTTCCGCGATTAGAAGCAAGGATAACACGCATCCAATAGAACGGATCTGCACCCGTCGCTGAGTGTATCCCATACAGAGGGAGCTGACTACAGACGAGGAAAATGAAAAGAGCGATGACAGTATATATAACCTTCTCTCTAAATGGCACTTTCCTGTCAGCAGTTTGAACTTCAGGGAGGAATGAGAGAAACGGTCTTACTAAGTGCAGAAAACGTAAATTGAAGGGTGATTGCAAAGGGAACAGAGGCGGAGGGAGTTGTTAATTTTGTGAAGAGAAAGGAAGTAGAGAGTAAGGGGAATGGGAATTACTGTTGGTGTTTTTTTGTTGTTGTTTTTGTTTTTTTCTTGTGTCTCCCCCCTTTGCAAAGAAAATAAGAGACCTTTAAGTAGAACAATGGAGAGGAAAATTGATTTCAAGAATTGATCAGAACCGTTCAAAATCATTAATCCGCAAATTAAGTTATCAACCAATAGAAATAGAGCAAGGTGTATTTAATATTTTTTTATGACAAAAACGCCCTTAAATGATAAAAATGAAATAAAACTGAAAGTATTAAAATTAACTCAATTTAAAATAATTTTTTTGAATTTTTTGAATAAAAAATAAAGACCCAAAATGACCGAAAATGATAAAAAAACGGACGAAAATTTATCCGAAAAAATAAAATGAACACATTAAAATAATCTACATGTCACAAAGATTAAAGAAAAAAATATTCAAGAAGTCAAAAATCAAAAATAAAATAATAAAATGTCAGACTAAACAGACGTTTAAGGTTAAAAACGAGACTTCGAACTGTACCGAAAAAATAAAGCGAGCATACCGTCATAATCTACGCGGAGCGCAGATTCATAAAATGATCGGTAAAAGGTGAAAACTTGAAATATTTTTCTCGCTATTTTTTCGCACAATATTGAATCGCTTTTAACAGTCTGTCTATAAAACCAAAATATTTTTATTATCGACATATAAACAACTTGGAGCGATGTAAGAAAATAGTAAACAGATAAAAATGCATGAAGTGAAATGTCGGGTATTTTACAACTGAAAGACGATGCAAACTTTGATTTAAACTGACTTTTTCTGGTCAACTTAAATACGACTAATGATGCAAAATGTGATGAAAGAAGATATTTACTAATGATTGTGACCAAATAACAAAATATGATATGAAAGTGCGACTAAAACATATTAGGGGCGAAATTTAGGGTGCAATAGTTGTGCCTTGATGAATCAGTCTTCGAGAATCCACAATCAACCGTACTTCGGGCTTGGGAGACTCAAAACCTTAATTGAGGCGCGACACCTGATGCTCTTGATTCAGACCTGTCTCTGCACATGACACAAAAGAAAACATGAACACACACTTTTGTATGCGATTAGAAATTAGTGATACATATGCTAAAAATGTTCAAAACACTTGACAATCTTCGCATAGTCAAAGCTCGAAGGTGAGACGTTAAAACCGACCGTATTTCGTGACCTCGACTTATTTTAAAAAATGCAACAAAAAAAAAAAGGGATCTTAGGTCAAAAATTGGGGTACAACAGCTGCCCCTATTTAAGTTTCTTCTATTTGGAGATATGAAGATTGGGATCTTCATTTCGACGAGATTGAAGGGACTTAAATATAGAATACACAATTTTTGGCCTTAAGATACCGCGATTATGTTCATGATATGATATGAATGTGATGTTTTGAATTTTATGGGGAATGACGCCATATGAGACAGACTATGCTGGAGAAACCAAGCACATTATACAATAATCCCACAGAGGAAGAGGTCGTAACTCCACTGGGGAAACAGAGTCATAGACTTCAAACGAGAGACTCTTGAATGATTTACATCAGTATTGAGACTGGAAAAGAAATGATTTACATCAGTACTGTGACTGGAAAAGGAAATGATTGACATCAGCACTGTGGCTGGAGATAAAATGATTGACATCAGCATTGTGGCTGGAAAAGGAAATGATGGACATCAGTACTGTGACTGGAAAAGGAAATGATGGACATCAGTACTGAGACTGGAAAATGATTAACATCAGCACTGTGGCTGGAAAACAAAATGATTGACATCAGCACTGTGGCTGGAGATAAAATGATTGACATCAGCACTGTGGCTGGAGATAAAATGATTGACATCGGCACTGTGGCTGGAGATAAAATGATTGACATCAGCACTGTGGTTGGAGATAAACATCTCTGATTTCTGAATTTTACCAAGAACGGTAACACATTTCTTCTCTAACCAAGATATCGCTTGAAAAGGATAAAATAACAAACTTCCCCACGGGACTTTTCCGAAAGGGATGCCATTTGTTGAGTAGACATTATTGTTGGGGATACACAAGCTGCTCAAATAAAGAGGCCACCACTTGTTTCCTTTCAAAGGTGTCAATAACATACAAGCTGCTCATGAAAAGACCGCCACTTGCTGTCTTCAAAGAATATTAAAGCACACAAGCTGCTCATGAAGAGACCGCCACTTGCTGTCTTCAAAGAATATTAAAGCACACAAGCTGCTCATGAAGAGTCCGCCACTTGTTGACAAAAACCCACAAGCTGCTCATAAAGAAGTTGCCACTTGCTGTCTTCAAAGAATATCAAAACACACAAGCTGCTCATGAAGAGTCCGCCACTTGTTGCCAAAACCCACAAGCTGCTCATAAAGAAGCTGCCACTTGCTGTCTTCAAAGAATATCAAAGCACACAAGCTGCTCATGAAGAGTCCGCCACTTGTTGCCAAAACCCACAAGCTGCTCATAAAGAAGCTGCCACTTGCTGTCTTCAAAGAATATCAAAGCACACAAGCTGCTCATGAAGATTCTGCCACTTGTTGCCAATAACCCACAAGCTGCTCATAAAGAAGTTGCCACTTGTTGTCTTCAAAGAATATTAAAGCACACAAGTTACTCATGAAGAGTCCGCCACTTGTTGCTTATAACCCACAAGCTGCTCATGAAGAGCTGCCACTTGCCATTTTCCGTACAAGCTGCTCATGAAGAGCTGCCACTTGCCGTTTTCAAAAAGTGTTGATAACATACAAGTTGTCCATGAAGAGACTGCCGCTTGCTGTTTTCTCAAAGATACCCATAAAATATCATGAAGATATTGCTGGAGGTGAGAAACAATAATTTCATCGAGGATGGACAAACTGCTCATGAAGAGACCGCCATTTGTCGTAGAGAAATCAGAAATAATCAAACTGCTCAAATAAAGAGTCAGTCGCTTTTTGTCATGTCGATATTCCAGAAGAAGGTTGTGATAACACTGCTGGGGAATAAAGTTCATCTTCAATGGGGAACCATGAATAAATCCTTCTTGAGGAGACCAAGTATTTACGTTGCAAAATAAATGCACTCTCCATCTAGGTTTCACAGCCTAGAGAGATCCACAGGGTATCGTTCACAAGAGACAAAGCTCCATCCAGGAATAAACTGGAGAGAAAATAGTCAAACAAGACTCCACCCAATGAGGAAACAACTCAAATGGAGATTTATCCTATCCAGAGATGGAAAAGGAAAGCTAAAGCAAGATTCTTCCACGAGAGTTAACTCAGTGGGGAATTAGAAAAGAGGCGCACTTTCTGCTTAAGTTGACACTCTATTTGGAAAGATCAAATACGCTATTTGAATAGACATAACCAAGGTATACGAACTCAAAGATATCAACAAATACAAATGTGCGTGCATGATGCAAGTATGAACGAATGAATGAATGTCATGTATATGTTGACAAAACAGACAGGGGAGATAGACAGAAGATGATAAGACGTCCCAGTACAACCCGACGCTCAGCTAATCTCAACAAAAGGGGAACATTACTGGAGATAAAACACAGGCCATCGTTGGAGCAAGGTCCTTTTACAAGGCTTAAATATCTCTGGAGAGGAAGATATTTTCAGGTAGAAAACCCAAAGTCTAGTCTTCTATTGCAAACAATCCATTGAAAGGATAACAACACAAACAAAGTTTCAACTGGAAAGAAGTCTTGCTTAGATGGAGATACTGGGAACACCACCCTCTGATAATGTATGAAAAACATATCTTGACAAATCTGGATTGCCCCTGGGATTAATTTTGGATGCCCCAAGTTTACTGCTGATAAGCTGCGTGATGCACGACAATTCTTACGAATAGCTTCACTTCTAACATGCCCCAAGCTATCTGGTTGATGAGGAGAAATCGTCTCAAGAGGATTTTACAAAAGACCTGGCATTCACCATGCTCTGGTGTCTTCAAACTCTTAGAGAGATTCAATAAATCTCTACGTGATTGCCCCGGATTGACTGTAGTCGGCACAATAAAGTCTTCGAATTTTTTTGCCCCAAACGAGCATACAAGTTGGGAAAAGCATTAACTGGGAGAAGAAACATGTTCGTGCTTACGGTCTTCAGGTGACATGCCCATGGATATGATTTTTTTCTTGACGTGATCCGTCAATTACTCAACATAATTTCAGGCCTTAAAAGAATAAACTCATCACTAGTGCTTATGTGAGCTTCCTTGATATCAAACAAATGTTTTGCAGTTAGAAAAAGTTTACAATGAGAATGAAAATTCTAATGCAACAGTTATGTAAGTCTTGAAGATTTTGAAAGATATCGCACAAATTTTGCGAGTTAAAGCACCATTTATTTTTGTATAGGAAAAACATATGATACCAACATAACTATTTAGAACATTCATGGGAGTCAGGAACACTATCTCATTGAAGTATGCTTTCAAAATAACCTTGCTTCAATTAGGACTTTTGAAGGTTGTAATGTGGTCTGGTTCATGGTTTTAGAAAAAAAGATTTAAGGCTCAAAATATTTGGTGCCCACCCACTTCATAATGTTCTCCAATTCTATGTTCAGTTAATTCAACATGAGTGTTCATCTCTCAAAAGGATTTTGTGACGGTCAAGGAAACGACGAGGCTTTCGGAGTAGAAACCACCTTTATGTCTTCGTATTTGTAGTCACCAATTTGTTCTTTGCTGAGGACTTTTCTTTGTAGTCCTTTCTTTGCAATTTTATTTTCCCTAATTTTTGCCTGAACTAATTTTTGAATTGATAGTCCAGCGG